ATTTCAAAGATTTTTATTCATTCTTGGAAAAAAGATAAATGTTTCATTCTTATTTTTGTCCAAAAAACAAAGTTTTTCAATATTCGAGCTAATTGTTTAAATGATACGTAAGTTTAACCCAATAATTTTTTCATCGATAATTTAAAACAGCTAAGTACATATTTACTTCCTGCACTGGTTTCCGTTAGAAAATTTCCATAAAGCAAACTAAGGCAAAAGATAAATGCATGGTAATTATGTAAAATGAAACAACGATAATTTTGTCTGTGTCAAATAAAACGTAGTAAAAACATGACACTTAGATTCATATTTTCTCAGAAATTTTGTAACAAAATCAACAAACATTGTTAAATAGTAAACAGGAAAAAAGAAATCGATTTTAACGAAATTGTTAGATATGCAGTTTTTAGTTACAACACTACTTACTAATTTATTTACCACAAATTAAGGTATAACATATTTTTCCATTAAAACTAATGATAATTTTTTCTTACACAATAAATTATATACAAACTGTCTAACGATAACGTATCAAAACCCCAAAACCCAAAAACAATAAATTTTTTGTTTTTTTTTTCGATAATGAACCCATTCATCCTAAAGCACCAAAAAAGATTAGTCTGTGACTTAAAGTTATCAAACCAAGATTACAGATGTTAAACGCATAAATAGTGATGAATGGGGTGGCGACCCCATTACTTAATATGTGGGGTGGTACGTTGACATGTTGATACTAAATAGAATGTTACACGTTTTTTATATGTATTGTATATATCATATTTTAAGGTTAGTTTTGTATATTTAATAAAACCTTGCTATATGGGTCATTTTCAAAATTGTTGTACATTTAAAGAAGAAAAAGTAAAAACAAAACTTGTTAAAAAAAACTTTAAATATGCTTAATAATTTTGAAAATATATTTTTTTGCTTGGTTTAAAAAAGAACATAAATTTATTATTTATAAAAACATGTTGAGTAGAAGACTAAGTAAAAGCAATATTCTATTTCTAAACTTTCTTACATAGGTACATAAGTTTTTTAATATATTTTCTGTATTTAAAAAATGCTCATTCAAAAAAGTGAGTTTAAGAAATATTCTTTTAATGCGTTTTTTCTCGATTTTTTTTATCTGGGCCTAGCTTGTCCAATTTAACGTACAATAAATTAATAAAAAGTTGTAGTTATTGGTAATATTAATAAAATAATAATAAAAAGTCAATATAAACATTGTTTCGTCGAACTACCAAAACTTTTTTCCAGCTTCTTTGAGGCAAAATACATTGACTAGGAAAATTACTATTTAAAAGATGGAGGCCATTATTTTAAATTGGCTACGTACTGTCAGAAACAGAAAAGGTGGAAGGTCAAAAAAAAAAGTTTTTAAAACTTTCCTATAAGTTTATTATTATTTCAAAAATATATTATAATTTATTTCTTTGTAATTGTCCCCTGGGTTACATAACTTTCCCCTGGGTCCTACAATATGTGATCCAGGAGACGTGTTACCCAGGGAAAAAATGTATGTTTTTAGAACATACTTTTTTAAAGATAAAAACTTGTAATTTTGCTCTTAAAACCATATCCCCAACACAGAAGTCGAGTGGATTTAAATCTGGAGAACAAAATGTTTTTTAAGTGTGTACAGCTGAGATTTTCCCACAGCGTGAAGTTGATAAGGTGAAATGTTAAGGAGGATCAGATCAACACCTGCATTCGCGAGATATAATATTACATAAACCAACATTTACTTGAACTCAAAAAAATAAACAAACTCCAATGCTTTTAAGTGTTATTACTGTACTTGACACAATTTTATTTTGAGAAAATCTCTTATCAGATTGTTTGCAGATACAAGTATTAAGGATTTTTTGAAATTGTAAACACTAATACAGTTTATAGAGCAATGCTCTATGTCTGGACGTTAAATGACCCCAACTCAATTTTTTTAACACCCTATTTATGATACCTTATTGGAAGCTTGAAAATACTCTTTAATCGTTTAATTTTTGAGAAATAAAATATTTTTTATAATTATTTATTCCAATGTTTCATTACAAATATCGAGTTAAAGCATTTTGTTGCAACTAATATCAAATTTCAAGAGCTTTCGTTCAAATAAGTCTAATATGACAAATTTTACATTTTTTGGTAGGGTCCCTACATAAACCATGTGCCCACAAGAAGCTCTGTTTTGACTCTATTATCGTATTAAAATCCCATATGCCATCGCTGGAACAACCTGTGCAGTGTTAGAGAGAAACAAAATAGTCTTTTACATGGTTTATGGCATTTTGTGGCAGCCGAGTTTTTTTTTTCAAGCCACAGGCAGAGCCTTGGTGGTCTCTTGAAAACGTAAAATTAAACGATGGTAAATAAATTGACTTTGTTTTCGGATCCAAAAGCCACCCGTATGCGGACGTAGCCTTAAACTATTTTATTAATCAAGATATTATGCTTTAGTAAAGGTTAATTTCATTTAATAACTTAATACTGCCAGGGTGGTCCTAATTTAATCGAGGATTTCAGCAGCAGCTTGATGAAGAAATTAACAATTTTTTGCCCACAAGGGGGTCTACCTAATTTATGTATGCACCAAAAATACTCTTACATATTGTGATATTTTTAAATGCACAACACAAACTGCGTTTTGGGTTTTTTAATTGTGCAAATTAAAATTTTTATCGGCATTCAAACATAAAAACTTAATTTGATTATTTTGAAATGCAACCTTTTTAAAAATTGGTGTTCTGCTTTAGTGGACTGCCTCCACGAGGTAATTATACCGAATGATATAAAAATCCTAAAATTTTTACATTTTTGTTTTGTTTTTTTACCAACGTGGGAAACTTACTCTCTAAAAAAGAATTGGTCAAAAATTACTAATTTAATAGTTATTTTTCACTTGTACCATGGTTAAGCATGGAATACAATGGTATCCCAAAATTTCACAGCCAATTTTTATGTAAAATTGTCCCCTGAATCCGAAAATACCGTCAAAAATTATGAAAGTGGAGCAGTTTTTGAGATATAGTCAATTCCATATTAAATGGAAAATTGACTATATCTCAAAAACTGTTTTACTTTTTTTAACTTTTCACGACATTTTCGGATTCAGGGGACAATTTTACATAAAAATTGGATGTTAAATTTTGGGAGACCATGGTGTTCCATGGTTAACCTTGGTACAAGTGAAAAAGCAGCCACTAATAACCATTTTTGACTAATTCAGTTTTAAAGAGTAAATAGTAGGTTTATTATATTATTATTATTAATATATTATATTATATTAACCTCATGTAACATTACCCTCTTAAACCCATGAGCCGCCACTGGGCAGAGTTCATTAAAAAATAAACCATAACCATTTTTGACTAATTCAGTTTTAAAGAGTAAATAGTAGGTTTATTATATTATTATTTTTAATATATTATATTATATTAACCTCATGTAACATTACCCTCTTAAACCCATGAGCCGCCACTGGGCAGAGTTCATTAAAAAATACAGCACCAAACGCCAAAAAATCAGTGTTTTTAAATATACAAAACAAATTTATTAAATTGATATGCCGCATATGCAAATGTGAGATACCGAATAATAAGGATGGAGTATTAAGGATAATTAGCGATTCCTTTTGGGGCCCAGTCACGTCCACATAAATTTGAAGAACTCGCGAAGACTTAATAACCTTCTGCATAATGATATCGCTATAAGGACCACCAAGGCTGAAAACAATTTTTTTGAATGCTCACCATTCGGCCCCAAATTAATTAAATCAAGTTTTTATGTTTTCGAATTGCCCACAAAAATTTTTCAGATTTTTTTTTGCAAGAAAAATACTGAAAATAGTTTTAATATTTATTTTATTATAAATAATTAAAATTGCCTTCTTGGGACAAATAAAAGTAAAAATATATATTTTATATGGGTGAATCTCACCTACCCCGTGATATTTAATAAAACCAAATCAGTTTGACCTACACTTATATTGTGTTTTCATCTTTCATAATTAAGTAGATATTACAGCTCAGCTTCCAGATTTTTAACCGCAATTAATTATTTTTTACAATGTTTTAAAAATCTAAAACCTATCCTCCGTGACTGTTACTCTTTCTAGGTTAACCTATATGTTTTCAAATATCTGAGGTAGTAAAATCATACCAAAAATATCAGTTCACTAAGTAAATTAAACACATCCAAAGCAATCGAATCAAATATAAAATATTATTAAAAATTAAAAGAAATAATTTTTATAACCATTTATGTAGGTGTTATAAAAATTGATTCTATCCTCCGTGAATCTGTTTTTGCTTTAAATTTTATGCAACGGATGGCGCTTGAATCATTTTAAATAGGCAAAAACCTCTGTTTACGACATTATAGATGCATGTGATTCCTGAAGATCAGTTAGAATTTATATGCAGATGTTCAGAAGTTCATTAATTTGCTTTTTAAAAACCTATCCACCGTGACGTGGTAATATCTCAGTAAGTAGATTTTTTATAAATAGTTTATGTATGTACAATTGTATTTTTTTTAAATATTAAGGTCAAAAGATACAATAACTTATTTCAGATATACAAAGGGATGTTTTAAAAAAAACATACGAAATCCTAACCTCCGTGAAGCTCTAATATTTAAAATGTATGATTTCTTAAAGTTCTTGCATTAGTGCTGAACCACTTATGTTATGTTATTACTAGACCTGGTGGCTTCCCAAAAACCCCATTTTAGACTAACAGTGAAACAACCAAAAATAAAAAATAGTCATTTTTACTTGGGGGACATCTCTTTTATCCCTAAAAACATTAAAAAAACTTAATCTAGGTACTAGGTAGGTAAGTACAAATGCACGTAAGTTCAATATAATAATTTTTACTCGGGGGACATCTCTTTTATCGCTAAAAACATTTAAAAAAACCTAATCTAGGTACTAGGTAGGTAAGTACAAATGCACGTAAGTGCAAGATAATAAGATAATTAAAAAGACAACCGTTGTTTTCCCATTTATTAAAAAAATTACTTATAATATCAGGTACACATGAACTAAATGTAAAAACAGCGTTTTGCACTTAAAATTAAAGACGATTTGGGATTTTATTTTTTGCATTGTCAGATTTTTGATTTTCAATTTGTACACAATTAAGTAGGTACTTTGAAAATTGACTTAAATTATTTATAAATCTTATTAACTAATAGTTCAATCTGGCAACCTAAAATTTTTACAGTAATAGTACTTATAAAGTAATTATACAAGTTCTCTAAAGCACCTTTGAAATTATGGTTTAATATTACTATACCTATGATTAAATTAACACTATATTTATTACTAAAAGTATATTTACAAATATTGTAGAAGTTTTCATACATTGATATAAAAAGGTTTGCAATTGCGACTACTTTCTATAGATGATGATCTCTATAGAAAGCAATAACCAATCAGAGCACATTATTCTCCACAGCATACTAGATGCGATGCAGATAATGATTTCTCAGTTTTTCTGTTACACGTAAGAAATGTAATTTTGCAAAAGCCCGACACAGGAAACCGTTGGCAATTTATCGGAATCAACAGTTGATTTCGTATTCCTGTACAAATAGAGGAAACGACATGCAACAATAGCGCGTGATCGGCATTTTTTTTGCGCACGATACAATCAGCCAATCGCGGTGTTCTATTGGAAAATCGACGGGTTTCGTAACAAATTTTGTTTACTTAATTATGATGATACTACATTAATAAATTAATATGTATATTTTGTAACAATAATACTAAGTGATATGTACAATGACAATGAAAAACAATATAAATACTGAAATTAGCACTAAGTTTGGGTAATATTTACAAACGGGTATTAACTTTTAAAATTAATGCAAACAGTGTATATAAACATAAGTCGCCAAACATTAATTTTAAAAATTCTATTAAAATTATGCGACAAAAATCTGAAAGACAATTATATGTGATATAATTTGGGATTAATTATTTTTTTATAATTCTATTATTGTTGTTTTTAATTTTAAGAGCTACAAGATCGGTTAAATTGGAGAAACGTCTATTAAAACCTTTAAACATGTTTTTTAACGCAGAAAATGTTAAAAGATCAGAAACAAAAAAATAATCTCCTCTTAGCCCAGAATAATTAAAAAATGGAATTTTCACACTCTCAAAAAATGAATTAGTCAAAAATGACTAATTTAATAGTTATTAGTGGCTGCTATTTCACTTGTACTATGGTTAACCATGGAATACCATGTTATCCCAAAATTTAACAGCGAATTCTTGTGCAAAATTGTCCCCTGTATCCGAAAATTCCGTCAAAAATTATGAAAGTGGAGCAATTTTTGAGATATAGGTAATTCAAGGTAAACATTCAATTTTCTTATTTTCTTTAAGAAACTTTTTTGACCCATTACTGGTAATATTCATAAGAAAAAATTGAACCTACACCTCGCCAAAGTTTTTTGTTTTGAGTGCGTTCCACCTACTTCAAAAACCGACAGACAGCTGTTTCGACCTATATTGGGTCTCATCCCAATATAGGTCGAAACAGCTGTCTGTCGGTATTTGAAGTAGGTGGAACGCACTCAAAACAAAAAACTTTGGCGAGGTGTAGGTTCAATTTTTTTTTTCTTATAGGAAAATTGACTATATCTCATAAACTGTTCTTTTTTTAACTTTTGACGACATTTTCGGATTGCGGGGATAATTTTGCAGAATAATTGGCTGTTAAGTTTTGGAATACCATTCCATGATTAACCATGGTACAAGTGAAAAAGCAGCCACTAATAACTATTAAATTAGTCATTTTTGACTCATTCATTTTAAGAAAGCAATCAAAGAAAAAATGCTTTTTAGGAAATATTACCGTTATAAAAACAGTGTTTTCTTAATTATTATTAATTATTCTGTCTAAAATAAAAATGTCAAATATTGACAAAATAAAATTTGTGGTAGTCAATAGTTCCATATTAAAAGTCCTATTTTCTTTCAGTCCTTAAAATGTGGATGTTTTTTTGTTGGAAAAACTACATACTTAATCCACATAAAAATATTCAGGAAAAAGTTTCTGTTATACGTATCTTAATATTTTCTACAATTTTGAGTTCAAAAATTTGTCTTTTAATATAGAACCAAATAAAAAAGCATACCCTTGGACTTTAAACAAGGACATCATAGCCAAAAACAGTGAAAAATAAATTAAACCACTCGTAATACTTGTGATGGTTATGAAGCAAAATTGATGACTTAACCTAAAAAAATCAATTTAGATACATATCTATGGCGAGCAACCTCTCGACCGCCGTCGTTTTCAGTTTTCTCAATGGAGGGTCAAAGGTATTACCTAAAGTTGTGCTGGTGAGGTCCAGAATCCGCGGAGCAGAATCGAACATGTTCAAACTTAGCACGTGCACCCCTGAATGCGCTAGCGAAAGAAACTGCAGGTTCACCAGCGGTTTAAAACTTTTGGCCTCGATGAAGTTCAACGCGTTGTAATCCAACATTAGGTTCCTCAACTTCGGCACCCCTACAAACGAGAATTCGTAGATGCTTTCCAGCTTGTTGTCGGATAGAACCAAGGTGAGCAAACTGTGCGAAACCAGGAAGTGCATGTCGCGGTTAAAACTTATTTGGTTTCCGGTTAAATCCAGCTTTTCCAACCTGCCGTTGAACTCGAACGTGTAGGCGCCCAGTGAGGTTATGTTATTCTCGGACAAATCCACAGTTTTCAGCGATTTTAACCCTTTGAAAGCCAAAACCTCGACACGATTAATCCTGTTCTGATACAGCTCTATAACGTGCAAGGCTTTATAGGATTTACTTGAAAAGGTTGCGTTCTCCAGAGAGGACAGATGGTTGTACGCGAAGTTAACCGACTTGGTTTGCGGGTGCCCCTCAGGGATCTCATCCAGGCCCATGCTCATTTGGGTGACGTGAAAAGGGGGGGGATTTGTAGTCGCCACCTCCCATTCCGTGGTCGTGTCCAGGTTGGATGGAAACGTTGATATTCTAAAAAAACGTTAATGTACATAGTTGTTATCTGTTCTTTGAGACGTGTATAGGAAGTAATTATCAAAATTTCCTATAGTAAAATGTGTTGTGGTTTGCGGTGTAGATAACATAGGACAATGTAGTTAATATTCAAATCAAATAAGGCTATACATTTCTAGTCAAATTAAACCATTTGATACAGAAGTTTTAAATTGGGAACATACTTGACCTGTTGAAGGAGGTTAGATAAAAGTTTCCCATTCATGTAAAATTAGATATTTAAGTAGGTGAATAGATACAGGGCTTTAAATTATATATAAAAATCGGTTTTATTTGCTTGGTTCTAATTTACCTTTGTTTGTTAGAATGGTTGTATTGATATACAAGTATCCAAAAAATGGTATAATACTTTAGCAGAAAGAATCGTATTATTTTTGTGGTGAAAAAATTTAGGGAAACTGGTTCAGTGTGCAACAGAAAACACACAAGATCCAGTGTACTGGATGAAGCTGCACAAATTGAAGTTCTCAGTCATTTTGCAGTGGAAATTCATTCCAAAAGTAGCTGCTTTAAGAAATATTTCTGTTGGTTTCGTTCATTAGATGACAGATGACTACGAAAAAAGAATCCAGTTTTGTGAGTTGCGGTTGCTCCCAATTTATTAAAAATATTTGTTTCAGCGATGATTCTACTTTTGTTCTAAATGGATTTGTAAATAAAAACAAATGTAGGTACTGGGACAATGAAAATCCACATGTTCTTCGAAAGAAAACTTGACTGAACGATTATATCTTGATCTTCTTGAAAATGTTATAGACCCAGTCATAAGAAAATCAAATGGACGAACAAGGAAACATAATGCACTGTTTAAAATATCTGCGGTGTAAAGAGTAATCTTAAAATGGTGTCAAAATCCAACACCAAGTGGTGTTAATATAACACCATGATTTATGGTTGAAAATGTTGTATACAGCAAACACCAAAACGGTGTTTATCTAAAAATATTTGAGAAGTGCAAAGGCGGCGTGGTTCACGTGTTCTTAAATCTCGCCTCTGTTGAAATACATGAAGAATATATAAGCTCAGGTAGTCCTTTGCTTTGGTGTGACACTACAAGTTGTTCAATACTAAAGAGACCTTAAATAGGTGGAAACAGCTGTCAATACTTGAAGTATTTTAAGTTAGTGGAACGCACTAAAAACATTATCTCTAGCGAGTTGAAGGTTCCATTTTCTGGAATAATACCACTGGTAATATACTAGTACTGCGTCAAGGAACTTCCTATTTCCTTTTTCTTTCCTTTTTTCTGGGTAGTATGATTTAATTTGACCACAAACACATAATATTAACACTGAAAAGGAGTTCAATTTACACCAGGTAAAATTTATTTTAATACTGTGTGAAAGTTAAATTAACACTATTTTAGTATTTGAATTTACACCGGACCAACGAACCACATTTAACACCATTTTGGTTTGTATCGATATAGAGCATGTATGGTGTTAATTTGGTGTTAAAATGCTCATGAAATTTTGAACAGTGTGCTTGGTGAAGGACATTTGTACTTTCAACACTATGCTGTACCAGTCAGAGAATGGTCGAATCCGAGAAATGGAATGGTAGAAGAGCTGCTCAAGAATGGCCAGCAAGATCTCCAGATTTACGTTTACAAAACACTACCTGAGAACATTCAAGAACTCAAACGAAGAGAGCCCTGTATATTTAGGATTATTCTTATTTGCAAGTATTGATTTTGAATAGCACAATAAAGGAAAGTAACCACTTTAATGTCAATACAATACAATTAGTTATCGTTAGTATTATTCTTTAATGCAATCTTGATAGATGCAATTTTATACGAAATATCGAAATGAAATATTGCAAAATCGTCTTATTTAACCTATTTACAAGCAAATTTATTTTTGATGCTTTATCTGTTTATAGAGATTTAATTGGGTTGATACAAAGTTTAATTAAAAATCTCACTCGGATCATCAAATGTAAATATTTTTTAATAAACACATAAAAATTTGGAGGTTAACGAGGATTTCAAGAATTTTACTGATTTCTTAGAAATGACCGATAAGAACTTTGTAGGTATCAAGTTGCTTCCCCATTTGGTTCCAATGAAACTGACACCACGTTTTTAATGAAAATTCGACTGGCCGATAGATTTGCGTCGCATTTAGCACAGTTAACAGACTAAAATGAGTATAACCTCCAAAGTGATAAGAGCATCGTTAGATAAATTAAACCAGCATTCTTAGTAGGTATAAATAAAAAACCTCATTGGCAACTTACGCGGTAACAGTGCACATAAAAAACACATATTTCACACCACAAATATCCATTTTGGTAGGTATTAGTTGTAACATGAAGTTTCATTCAAGGCATGTAGTCTGAATGCTTCTTTGGATAACATTGGACTTATCAATGTCTTACGTCACTAATTAGCGCCAAATTTAAATATGGTTCGGCTCTTATCTCATTCAAATTGTCTGCTGCCGTCCACATATTATCATCGTACTGCTGCTTCTGTTCAAATGATTTTAGTTTCCATATTTTTGTCCATCCCAAGGTTATCACCTAATTTATTTATATAAATATTTAAATAATTGTTATTATGTCATTTTTTATTTAATTGTTTGATTATCGTACGAGACATAGTCCATTGAGTGACGCTGGAGCTCTTAGCTCTACATTAGAACATGGTATATCTTTAAACAGTTTTTTTTAATCCAAAATCCAAAACTTAACATTTAACATCTGCTTATCTCTTTATTTTTTTGCACACGCATAATGCGTGTAAATGCAGTGCACATCATTCAAAAAAATAAATTTCAATCGAGGTTTGCTAATAATAAATAAAACAACTTTACAAGTAGTACTTTTTTAAGGCATTAAGAAAAAAATGCCAAATCCTATATGTCCCCATAGTCACTAAGTAAATTAAACACAGCCAAAGCAATCGAATCAAATATAAAATATTATTGAAAATTAAAAGAAATAATTTTTATTAGGTACTATTTATAAGGGTGTTACAAAAATTGATTCTATCCTCCGTGAATCTGTTTTTTCTTTAAATTTTATGCAACGGATGGCGCTTTAATCAATTTAAATAAGCAAAAACCTCAGATAGAATTTATTTGCGGATGAGAGTGTTGCTGTTTTATAATTCAAAAGTTTAAGGACATTAATTTGCCATTTAAAAACCTATTCACCGTGAAGTGTAATATCTCAGTAAGTAGATTTTTTTATAAATATTTTATGTATGTACAAATGTATTTTTTAAAAATATTAAGGTGTCAGAAGATACAATAAGTTATTTCAAATATACAAAGAACGAAACCAATCATCACTAATATTTCTATTCTATAGAGTTTCTGTTAAGAATTATTTTAAAGTTTAGATTCAAACACAGCCTGCCTTTCACAGTTTTTTAAATTACGTAAACTATTTCTTTTTAACATAATTAATTTTTATAATAACTCCTTTTTAATCCTAAACCTTATTAAAAACAAAATGTTTTAGAACCCTCATCTCATAAATATAACACCTCGAGAAATTGCTCGGGCCCAAACACAATTAATCAGTTTTTAGTTTGGGGCCCGCCTTTACGACCCGCAATAAATAATTTTCGAAATGCGAGAGAATACTCGTTTCGGCGTTTAAAGAAAGCATAAAGCCATTCTTGTAAACATCGTAGACACCTTAAATTCAAGGTGCCGGCGCCAAGAGTCATCTCCAATAAAGGCAACAAAAATAAAGAGGTCTAAGTGTTGTTTAGTTAAAGTTTTGAAGCGCTTTGTAGAGAGGTTCTTGTAATTCTTGTAATTGACAAATTGCCTTGCAAATTTAGTAATTTTTAAAAATGTTCACACCAGAGTAAAATTTTAAACTATTAAACTAATTTTTATGACCAAAAAAACATTTTTTCGAAAACTTATATCAAACGTTCCTAGGTTATGAAAAATTCAGCTCATTTTAGCATATACCCCTCAAAGCGATTTTTATTTTTAAAAAGTTTACCTTTTAGCTTTTAAAAAAAGGCTAACTTTTAAACTTTTTTTTGTATGAGTAAAAAAAGTTATAAATGGGCCCATTAAAAAGAGCATAAAATATTATACAAACTGAAAATTTGGTAAAAAATAAATAAGTTATAAAAAAGTATAAGTAATTTAAAAATGCTATTTTTAAAGAGTTTTTGCAATTTTCTTAGGAAACGGGAGATTTTGCAGATATATATGAGGAGCGTTTATTCAAAAAGGGACATGTCCATTTTAGCGATTTGCAGAAACAAGTCAAAAATAACAGAATTCTTTTGCTTTTGACTTATTTCTGAAAATCGCTAAAATGGACATGTCCCTTTTTGAATAAACGCTCCTCATATATCGTTATAACTTTCTTATTATTTATACAATTTTTACCAAATTTTCAGGGTTTGTATAATATTTTATGTTCTTTTTAATGGGCCCATTTATAACTTTTTTACTCATACAAAAAAAGTTAAAAAGTTAGCCTTTTTTTAAAAGCTAAAAATAAAAGGTAAACTTTTTAAAAATAAAAATCGCTTCGAGGGGTATATGCCAAAATAAGCTGAATTTTTCATAACTTCTAATAATTTTGAGATAGTATTCACGAAAAATATTTCTGTATAAATTATGAAGTGTCCGAACATTTTGTGGTTAGGGCTCGAATAACAGGAGAAATCTGTTATTCAATATGGTGCGGACGCGTCTGCAAGCACCGTTGTGTATGTAGGTTAAGAACTTCAAAGACGTCTTTATTCCGACAATAAAAAACGGCCCGTTTGTTTGGGGTTGGTGGCGATAGAAACGGAAAACAGAGCGCACCCGGACAAGCATGCAGATGGAGAGCAGTGTGTGTGGACTTTTCATTGAACACTTGCGTCCCGTCGCAGCTGTGTGGCCCACTGTTCCATTCCTGGGCCCGGTGTGCGTATATCTAATGTGCTGCGCGATCCGTGAGACCGAGGCAACCCCAAAAAATTCAAAGACACCCTTTTCCGCCGATTGCGGATTACTTTTAATCGACATGCGACTCATTGATATACACGAATATGCGCTTTGTTTGCGGTACTTAACTGTTTCTTCAAGACATCTGGGCCAAGTGATGAAATCGAAAGGGGAAAAATCATTATTATTAAATAAGCTTAGGGTTAATAGATGATAAACGATTTTTAAGGACAGTAAATAAGTTTAAACGTCGATAATATTACTTTCTAAAATTCTTAATGTTACCTATCTAAGACTAGACGCAAACCTAAATTTGAATTTGATTTAAAAAAATGTATTATTGCATTTGCAAATTTTTTGATATAAGGTCTCTAAATTTAATTTTATAGCATCGGTTTTTTAATTGTAAATGTAATTTAAAAACTAAATTGTTGTATTTTTATGTTTTGCCAAAGGATCCAGTTCGGTACCTACGTAAATTTGTTGGTGCAGAATGAACTAATTATAACTTTACCTAATATAATTGAGAAGCATCTGTGCAAAATCGGCTATATCCACTTTAATAAAATGTTGGGAAAATGGCAAAAACTCTCGGTTTCCTGGCCTTTAGAGATAAAAGAAAAAGCAAACTTGAGATTTGTGGGCTTTGTGGTACTTGATTTTTAAGACATTCTTTTGTTTTCAAAAACTTTATATTAAGGCTGAAATTTCAAAAAATGTTTTGCTCAAAAACCGAATAAAATGTGAAAAAAAACCTTAATTAAATGGAGGTGTGACTGAGTACACGTTATTCTTTTCATACAAAAAAGAAAAAAAAAAATCCTTTTTATTTCAAAACCTTAATTATTTAAAAATATTAACAAAATAAATTTAGTGCAAACATGAAAAAACAGAACAAATTTTAGTAGCAGTATCGACATATCCAAGCCACATGCTCATCATCATTATTATTTATTGGATATAGCCGGGTTTGCTATAAAAACGTGGATTTGGCCAGTTTTGCTGATTTTAACATTTATTTAGTCGGATTTAAACAGAATTATCTTGGTTGTCGATAGAAATGAACCCAAAGATGCGAAATCAGAAAAAAAACTAAAAACTGAATAAAATGGATTTAGCCGGTTTTGCACGGATGCTCCTCAATTTATATTTAGATTTGCACATTTTTAAGAAATCTAAAAAAATAATAGTTGTACAGACATAACCTTAAAATCAAAAAATTTTATATTTGATTATATATTGAATATCCTATAAAAAAGATTTTATACATTAATACAATAAATTGCATATAGAGCATTTAATAAATTTAACTGTCAAATTTCGATAAAACTAAATATCTTATCAATGGTTGACCGTCAAATTTATTAAATGCTCTATATCTTATAAACTATACATTTTATTGCATTAATGTATATAACTATTTTTGTTGGAAATTAAATTCCATATAAAAATTTTAAAAACTTTATACCTGTAACTTTAACCGTTTTGCCGTAAAATACATAAATACTGTTTTTTATTAAAAATATTACTCTGGTTAAAATATATTAAGTGTAATAAAATTGTTGTACTAAAATCAAAATAAAAATACTAAATACTAAAATTAGGGGCTGAAACTTTAAGGGCATTTTTTTCTCGATATGTGCATCAATATTTTGCTTGGGGAGTAGGATTTTAAAATTTCCGGAAAAATTGAAAAAACCGGATTTTTTTCGGAAAATAACGGAAAAATTGGGAAATTTTCAGACAAATTTACTTTTGCATTTTTATTTATTTTATTCGAAGGGTAATACAAAAAACATCAATTTTTCTAAAAAAAATTGAAAAAGTGACTTGGTTTTTTTTCATTTTATTCAGAGGGTAATACGCTACGTTAATTGTGTTTTACGTTGCAAGGAAAAATTAAAAACTGGTTTAGTACTCGATTTCGATTTATTATTCTTTATATCATTGATTAAGAAACTAAGGGATCATGGTGAATTATTGTGTTTTTAATTGTAAATAATATTCAAGAACTAAATCGTTGCATTTTCATGTTTTGCCAAAGGATCCAATTCGGTAAGTACATTTGTTGGTGCAGAATTAACTAATGATAACTTTACCTAACATAATTTATATTTAAGTTTGGACATTTTTAAGAAATTAGTAAAAAATAATTTTTGCACAAACATAACCTTAAAATCAACCATTTTTATATTTAAGTCGACCACTGCATTTTAAACAACAAAATATACCTACGAATTCATGGCAACATAATATTATATATAATACATAATAAAATGTTATTTTACCGTTGAGTGCACTCCATGGAGACTTTCTTAATCAACGCTTTTAATAATGCTAAATGCTGTTTAAATTTAGACGACTTATTTGTTTGACGATTATTACTGAATTGACTTTTCACGTTAATCATTACTAAAATGTTTATTTATTGTATCTGATAGATACAATTTATATTTACAGGGACTGTATGAAATTTATTTCTTCATTCGGTTTAACACTGTTTATTGGAAAACCGATAAAAACTCAACCCAGGATTTCCTCTCGAAATACACCC